CTTGGTAACCGTTTACAAGCTGCTACAGCACCCAGCGCTGAAACACCAACTATCTCTGTCATGGAATAAGCGGAAAACTCCGGAACGTAAGCAAAAAGCAGGTCAGCCAAACTCAGCTTCTCTGAAACACAACGTCCCACCGAACCTCTGACGTGCTCTGAAGAACTCACAGCACCGCGTCCCCTGCCCGCTCACCACATTGCTGGGCCACCGCCACCATCGTGTAGTGGCGAATCAGGCTGGCCACAAAGGGCAGGGCGCTGGGCCGGAGATCCTTGATGACAGCAGACATGAATGCCCCGGTCAGAGCCTGCTCAAATGTCTTCCGAGCTGGCGTGTCTTGCGCTTTGTAGCGGTGCGATATGATGACATTGGGGATGGTCTTTTCTGTAAAGCTGAAAGACAAAAATTAAAGCCATCGTTATGACACCGAAGTCCTGAGCTGATGAGTCCACCACAACTTATTTCTTTTCAACTGGCCCACTTTCCCCTTGTTCAGATGGGCCCTGCTTTGATTTCAGCAACACTTGGAACCAAACATGACAAACTTCATTATGAAAGTTTGTAGTCAATGGTTCAAGAGAACACTCCTAGGAGTTTCTACTAGACATGCACAGCTGGAACCAAACCATGAGGACAAAGACAAACCCGCCTAGGGACTGTCTACAAAGTAATCGGTCTGTATGCTTCAAAATATCCACATCATAAAAGACAGAGGCCAAATAACTACTGTTATTTTTCTATGAATTTATGTATTCCATTGAACCTTTGCTGTTTTTTTTTTTTTTAATGTCTGAAGCGTCTGGAGTGCCCTTGCCCGTTTTATTTGACATGGGTTATTCCTGCCTTCTCTTCCTCTAAGTCAGTCTTGTCAGAGGTGTTTCAATTTCATTCCTCTTTCAAAGAACCAACTTTTGGATTTATTGAACTACTCTTCGTATGTTTTCTTCTTTTGTTCATTTCTTCTGTTCTCCCGTTACACTTTATCTGACTTTTGAAATAAGCATTTAGCTCTTTAACATTTATTCTTTTCTATTATGATTATGATTATTTATGGAGTATAATTCACACGCTATAGAATTCATTTCACTTTTACAGTTCAGTGAGTTTTAGCAGATTTATATAGTTGTGCCACCATTACCACAATCCAATTTTAAACTTGTCATCCCCAGAAGACAATCTCCATCCCCACACCCAGGGAAACCACTGATCTGCTTTCTGTCTCTACAGCTTCGTCCTTCCTAGAATTTCACATAAATGGAATCATACAACATGCAGCCCTGGGTCTGGCTTCTTTCCCTTAGCCTGGTGCTGGAGGTGATCGGTTTATGCTGGAACATGTGTCAGTGGCTCAGTCCTTGCTACTCCTGAGATTTCACTGTATCCACACACACAATTTGCTTATCTGCTTACCAGATGACAGACATCTGGATTGTTTCCAGTCTACAGTGATTTTCAAGGCTACAAGTTTCTCTCTAAATATAGCCTTAGCTGCACCCAAAGTACATGTGTCAACCTATCATCATTTTGTTTGCTCTTCATTCCTGCTCCTGTTTCAGATCTTCCGCTGGGGAACTTTCATTCCACCTGAATGAGGATCTGCTGGGGGGAGATTTCTCTTTTATTTGAAAACATTTCTATTTCACCCTCATTTGTGAGTTATATTCACTGGATATATGATTCTAGGCTGGCAGCTGTCTTCTTCCAGACTGGAGACTTTCCACTGTCCAGTGGCTTTCACAGCTGCCAAGCTAGCATTCATTCGAGGGTAATCTATCTTTTTTGTTCTGTTAGCTTTCAAGATTTTCTCCTTATTTCTGATATGTAGTTGTTTCACTTGATGCGTGCATGTGTGGATTTCTTTTTTCATCCTGCTTTAAAGTCACCAATCATTCTGCATCTGTGCACTGGTGTTTTTTTTATCTTCAGTCCTGGGAAATTCCCAGCCACGGTGTCAAGTACTATCTGCCTCCTTTTCTCTCCTCTCCCTGTGGGACTTCAAACAAACTGTTCTACTTCACACTGTTCTTCACACTCGTTCTCTCTCTTTCGAATTTTTCATCTTTTTCTCTCTCTGTACACATTTTGGATAATTTCTTTTGACTCATCTCTTAGCTAAAGATTCTCTTTGTGCCTTTTTTCCTTTCATCTGCTTGGGCAAGGTTTGTAATTTCTTGGAGGACTTTCAAGTTTGTCTTTCATTTATTTTAAACATAGCAAAAGCTCAGTTATAACCTGAGGTGATCCTCATACCCGAAGTCTGTGCAGGTCTATTTCTGCTTTCTGTTGGTTCTGGGGCTCATACTCATGTTGCCTGACTTTCCTGAGTACCTGGCTATCTTTGACTGCTCTCTCTCCAAAGCCCTTTTAACAACTGACCACCTACTATATAGCTGGCATTATCTTCGATGCTGTGAGAAATGTGAAGATACAGAGGGAAAACCTCTTCCCTGAAACATAACACAGAAAGATGATATACACATATTATCAGAAAAGGTCATTACATAAAGGTCACACAGCCTTAAAGAATAAGAGCAAAATACAAACACTGCAAGACAGAGACTCAGGGAATGAAAGGCTCACTGTGGACGGAAAAGCCCAAGATCCCTGAACAGCTATCATGTGGCCAGCACTGTGGATGTGACCATGAACCAAAGGGAAAAAAGGACGTGACCTTGATTCCCGAAGCTCACACTCTAACGGAAGACGCAATGACAGAGGGAGATCACGACTGAGCAACCCTAACTCTCGAGCACCCGAGTTCTCTCCATCTTCTCTAAAAGCCAAGAGAAGCACTGCTGGGCAAATAATAGGCCATTTTCCTGACTTAAAGGAACATGCTGATAACATTAAGAAAGCTGGGAGGTCCTCTCCATCCCGAATTTCCTGCAGCAAGACACTGTGCGCGCTGGCACAGAGGGAGGGTACGACGTACTTGGGGTGCGCCAGGAGCTGGTAGAGCGCGTGCTTGTTGTCCTCGAGGCTCATCATGGCCACCAGGAAGCACCTGATCACCTCCCATGCCTGCCGCCGGTAATAGGGCTCAGTGTTGGCGCTCTTCAGGCAGTCTAGGGCTGTTTCGATGGCCTACAGCAAAGAAACACGAACACTGGAGTTTGTCCTGAACTCACATGATTTTGAAAAGCTTTTGCTGAAAGCACATGCAGCGCCCTGAAGACCGGACGCACACTTCCTCTGGGCGAGAGCACGGTGGGCCGGGCCTGCGGACAGAGGGGCCTGCAGACAGGTGGATGGGTACTCACAAGGAAACCTCCCCAGATGGCGATGAAATGTTACAACATAAGAACTGCACGGTTCAAACTGAATGTCACATGGAATCAGCTGATTTCATGCTTAAATAGCCAACAGGAGACTCCAGAAATTCAGTGCACTGAGAAGGTCTCCTGTGGTAAATCTGCTGGATTAACCTAGATCTGAGGCATCTCAATTCAAAACTAAAAGATGGCTTTTCTAAGCTTCTACTAAATTCTCTCCTTAAAAGATAAGAGAGTTTACATCATTTTTTCAGAAACCCTACACAGTTACATACACGTTGTATCCTATTCACTGGGCTGACCAGGAAGGCAGGGGAGGAACAATCACAAAAAAATCATCTGAAGCCTTTAACAGCTAAGATGCTAATGTTAAAGACAATCACATGCCTATAAATCAAAGACCTAATCCGCGCTGATGATTACAGATGTATCCCGGCCCCGTGTGAGGAAGCGGAGGGCTGACAGGGACAGAGGCCCTGCCCCCAGACCCGGCCAGGAGGCACAGCACAGGTGACAAGGACTCCTCACGTCGTCGCCCCCAGCCTGCGAGTCTGAGCTCCCCTGCGGCCTCTGATCTGCCCAGGACTGAGCAGTAAGTCACGGAGGGGTACTTTGAGGAGTCAATGTAACCTACAAGCCAACTACCTGCCCCCCAGAGAACAGGACGGTGAAGTACACCAAAGGCGGGGCTTTGTGGTGTAAACCCACTGGTGCTCGGAGAGACCCCAGCGGGCTAAGGAACCGTGTCTGGACAGAGAACAGAAGAGCTGGTAGTGGGGAGTGATGGGGATGAGACAGGATCAGGATTAACTTGGTTCTAAATGACACTTGACGTACAGCCCTTGGGCATCAGACTAAGTGCGGGGCGGGGGGGCATCAGGGAAGAGGTTCAAGGGCGCAAAGTCCCCAGGGCAACGCTGCCCACTGGCTCCTGGCCTGATGGGAACCCCTTGCCGAACTAGCTGGGCCCCGATAAACCTTGCTGTTCCTTGAGTTAGAAATTCCCTCCCCAAAAGCACATTTTATTTCCATGTTTTCAAAGAGAAATTAAAGGTCTTAAAATGAAACTGAACAACATCTTTAAGAAACTCCCAGAGACTCCCAAATTTACCTTCTCCATTGGGAGCTGGAGAGATGCTTTACAGTCCGAAAACTCCACTGTGATACTGGGGCCTTGAACTTCAGTCACGACATAGTGCAGCTTCTGGGATTCCTTCAACATCTTCCTGTTGCTGCCACCAAATTTACCAAGGACACGATAGGCCACGTGAGAAATGCTGTCAGCAGGATTGCGTAACGTGCGCCATAAAGCCTAAAAATCAACATGCTTTCATTAAAACCTTCCGAGGCAACGCACTCCCAGGGTTCACAAATCACAACTCAAAATTCATGAAAGACTCTACGGTGAAAACTCTTCTGTCCTCCAAACACACAGCTCCCTTCTCGGGGAACCAATGTTACTAGTCTTGTGTATCTTTCCAGAGAAACTGTATGCCTTTACAGAAAACGCATGTGTAAGTGATTTTTAACACTCCTGGAATGCAAATGGTAGCGTATCATCAATAGTGCAGAGCTCAAAGGCAAGAAAACTAAACAACGTATTATTGTTTGGGCAAATATACAAAATGGGATGGAGGAGAGGAGAGGAAAACGCAAAATGCTGGTAAAGTTTTTGACATTGGATAGGATGGTGCATTCTCAGGTTTTTACTTCTATTCTTAGGCTTTGTAATGTTCGAACATGATATGTAAACTATCTTGTACATTTCAAACCTGACATTAGACAGGATGGCAAAGTTGGAGAACAGGGAGCATAAACAGACCTGCCTCAGAGGAAAACAGAGTTACTGTGAACCTGCACTCACGGTGTAAGAAGCAGAAGCACTCAACTATTCCAAAAACTCCTGTCAGTTTTTCCACATTTTTTTCATTTGAACTGTCATAGCCCTGAAAATTACCATAGCTCACTATTTAAATCTATTTTCTTATATCACCTTCTATTACAATGCCAGGTATTAGCGTCTAGCGACAGGCAACGTAAAATCTTGGAACTTTCTTTAAAGCAAAATTCCAGCTTCTTTTATGTTCCTATAGGTCCAAAGAAGCTTCCCCCCTTCCTGACTGTTGAGAGATGTAGCCCAAGACTGGTCACCTCCTCGCCCTCCACCTGGCCCACCCAAAGCTCATGATCCTCAGGAGAGGGGGCTTCTGCTTACCTCGCCAGGAGGGGCAGCCCATCTCCCTGTGCTCGCGGGGTTTCACTGGTGGATGGTACTGTGCCACTTGTCCAGAAGGCAGGGTTACTGTGCCCCCAGAATCAAGCCGCAGCCCCGACTGTGTCTCCCCCTTGGGCTGTCTGCCCCACAGAGCGGCCAGGGGCCCGAGAACCTGCCACGTGACGCTCGCCCAGGCTCGTGTCGGGCCCATGGTCTGCCTTTCAGAGCCAGCAGTACTGCTCAGGCCCAAGAGCCACACACACCTCCAAATGACTGGTCTTGGACTTGGAGCTCCAACCCAAGCCCTAGGCCATCTTCTCCCACCCAGATGGAGCCCAAGAGCTAAGTTTAAGGACTGTAAGGTAAGGCCAGTCTGCAGTCTCCAATCCACTGTCCAGAGACTCCCGGACTTTAGGAGTTACTGAGTGCCCGTCACAGAAAGCTGCCATTTGGATCCCCCCCCTGGGGCCAAATACTCTATACTGAAGGGGCAGCCTGAACCTCTAACAATTACCAACCACGTTACAGATCAGTGACATCAACAAAACATGAAGGAAACACCTGATATATGACAATGAACTTTCACGGCCAGAAAATACAAAATGGTTTCAAAACCACCTCCTTTCTTATCTGCTGTTTCCCTTGGGGGGGCCACACAGCTAGCCTGTGTTGAGGCGTTTGCATCTCTGTACTGGGCAACCCAAGATCTCTCCCAGATGAAGAAGGGCTCTCCCTGGAAGCAACAGCAGCCACTGAACTCCTGCTTTCACAAGCCATCGACCTCACAAGAACGTGGCACCACAGCACCCTCTGAAAAGGGCAGCCTAACAAGTAGTCACACGATACCTGCAGTATTTCTTCATATCTTTCATAAGTCAGAAGGCTCACAAAGCAAGTTGAAAGCTACACCAGTTCATCTTGCAGGAAGCCCACCACTGGGCAGGGAGAGCTCAACACTGGCTGTCACTTCTGAAACTGACAGCCTGAAATCCTCATGACAACTCACATGCGGGAGCCCCCGGCGCCCTCTGCTGGCAGTCCGAGGACGCAGACTTACCTGCATGAGCTCTGCGCGCACGGGCTGGATGTGGTCGTAGAGGAAGTCGGGCTGCAGGTTGTCCACACACAGCTCCAGAGTCCTGAGGCCTTGGCTGACCAACGTCTGGGACCCATTGAGAGCCGACACCAAGGGGTCCATTAACATGGGCAGGTAGGGCAGGAGAGAGCTGAGCCGCACGGGCACGGTGAGGCACAGCTCCACGAAGAGGTCCTTCATGTGCTGCTTGTGCAGGCCGCTCTGCAGCATGTTCAGCCCTGCACACAGCGGTGGGGGCTGTCAGAGGGCGCAGCCTCCCAGACACATGCAAAGTTACAGGGCGTACAGCACAGTACAGGCTAGGATGGTACAGAGTAACTGGTCCACCTTTTTAGGTGAGTGTCAACCCGATGACAGAACGCTTTCTATGCCTCACAATTACTATATTTACTAAATCTATTCTGTAAATGTACCCATGACCCCTTCTGCCTGTCACATTCATAGTGACAACAGCAGGCTGCACGTAATTAGTATACATTATAACTGAAATTGTAATTTCTAGTAATGACTTAACGTTGATTAAATTAAGGACTGATCAGTGTTATACATCAACGCTTGGAAAAACGTGTTATTCTATTGACAAGCCCAGGCTAAAGACAAAGACTCCAAGACGACACGTTCATGTCAAGTTTGCGATTTACCACCTACATGTTTTTCAGGCTTCCCATAAACCACAGTTGATGTCTATGCTCTAAAATAAACACTTTTTAAAATCCACTTTTGTTTTCTATTAATGGAGAGGAGCTTCCCTCTCATAAAGTCAATCTCCCTATTCTTCCCAAGGGTGACTGAGTATTTACTGAGCTCCTTCCTAAGTGAGACATGTCTGACCGAACCTCAGAGATGAGCTGGAAGGAGAAAAGTTAACAGTGGCCCCCCGAACAACGTGCGTCCCAGGCAGTTCAGGCTGAAGAGAGAGGAGCTGCCCGGGAAGGCGTCAGAGTAGCAGCACAGATTCAGCACAGGACGAGGCAGGGCTAAGCTCCCAGGAGGGGACCCACATGAACAAAACCAGCTGGGAGAAACAAGGCTGGGGGAGTGCAGGGAGGGGAACCAGACTGGTCGGAGCAGAGGGAAAGACGGGAGGTGGGGCCAAATGCACACAACAGAGCTGGACTGCGGGCCGCCTTAAGCACCTGGCCTGGGGGACTCGGGCCGCATCACAGTCAACATGGTCAGGTATTTCCCAGCTGCCTCCTGGGCAAACTATGTTGTAAATGGCTTCTTCTTAAAGGATTTATAAAGAAAATACAACAGATTGAACTCCTTACTGAGAGTTCACCTTTACAAAAAAATTCCTGGGACGGTGTTTCTAATCTGCCCACACCTGTAATCTTTCACTGGACTCAAGATCCCCTTGAGCTACACACCTTGAAAGCATCCTAATTACACAGGAATGAAAGCATTCTGGAGGGGAGGGTATAGCTCAGGGGTGGAGTGCCTGCTTAACATGCAGGAGGTCCTGGGTTCAATCCTGAGTCCCTCCATTAAAAATAAATAAATAAACCTAATTTCCTACCCTATAAAAATTAAACTTAAATAATAATAATTACATTTTAACAGGGAGGGTATAACTCAGTGGTAGAGTGTGTGCTTAGCATGCACAAAGTCCTGGGATCAAACCCCAGTACCTCTATGAAAATAAATAAATAACAACATATTTCTATATATTTTATATAAAGCTTATATTAGCTTTATAACTTGCTTTTTCCCTTCTTGTTCTGCTTTTCTTTCAATCTAGAGATCCCTGATCTTATTAAACCACTAGAAACCACTTTCTAGATTTGCTTATCAAATGCTACAAAGTTCTAACTGGCGTAACTAAAACCTTCTAGCTCCCATTCAACTCTGAGAAGGAAGAAGAACCCATTCCTTTAAAGATCCACTGCCTTTAAAGAGAGCGGGACACAGGGACAGCCACACACACACACACACACACACACACACACACACACACACATACTGCAAGGGACATACATGTACATCCTCTCACAATGACCCTTCACCAGGTGCAGAGGATGAACCCCAGCAACCAAGGGCAGCCAGACCCATGCACACGCACCAGACTAACAGGTCACCAAAATCACAGCTCTGACCTTGCAGGAGGTTTGGTAGGAGAGGCAAAAATTCCTGATACAGGAGATCATGGCTACCTCCCCCGATGGAGCGGAACAGGGCCCGAAGCAGCAGGAAGTAGTTATAGGGCTCTTTGGCAGTCTGGGCCAGCTCCATTGAGCTGTTCACAATCTTGTGCAGGTGAGGCTGCAGGATGGAGAAAAGGCAGGTTAACAGGCTCTAACTGAGCGGGTTCGCTGTGAAAAAAAAAAAAAACAAACCAGGAATGGAAGGTAATTTTGATGAACTTATTCTAAAGGGAACAACAAAAGAACTTTCCAACCTGTATTTGACTCAAATTAATTTATCTTAAAATATATGTTGGTTTCCACCACCAGTCTGGCTGTGAAAGAAGCATTTAATAGGCTCCTATCTCACTATGTAGGTACATGATGCCAAGAAGACGCTCTGCAGCAGGAACCAGAGGTCTGTGAGCTCCACAGGTCTTGTGAACACAGTCACTCTTGTATGAGACTCAACAATCAAACAAGATGAAAGAAGCCTGTTTCCTAACTATCAAAACACAAAAAGCAACCGAAAGGAACTGAAACTTCACAATCAAGTACTACACATGCAAAGTCTGGAAGAGCCTCAAAAGACATCTGAGATTATTATGCTTCGGAAAACTTGGTCAAAAAATGTTTTCATACGGTATTTCTTTCATAAAAAAACACTTCATTAGCTCAGAGTAACTTTAATCAACATTGTAAGCCAGATCAGCTTTTTATCTTGTACTTAAAATCCTAGATTTGACCTGTAACAGGTTGAGTCTCATGTGAACTCTTCTGCAGGTGTATTTAAAGTGAACTATGGACTATGAACTGCGCAGTCACTGACAGGCTACAGTCTGTCACTGTGTATGGCATGGTGCATTTCTTTCACAGATAAATCAACTATCTGTATTAGTCTCGCAACAAAATGTTTCAAGAAATTGTTTTTTGAGTATCTTTTTGAATGATATTCCAACATCTCATCCTTGGGTTTGACTAATCGATTAGGTTTGGTTCTGTTTTTTGGTGGTGGCTGTTCTACATGGTTGTCCCTAATAGTGGCAAAAACTGAATTATTTGAAGATACCAAATAATGTGGACAAAAATTATAATTAAACATTTCGTATCATTTAAAAAATCTGACTACTTTCTTTTTACACTAACACAAAAGTAAAGTAGAGATTGTTGATAACTAATTACTATACAACTGAGAAAACCAGAGTAAACTTCACATAAAAGCACACATTACTGGTGCTTTTTCTAACCATCCATGTATTTACTTCAGAAAAAACGGATCCGGTTTCCACTCTCGGATTCTCCCCTACGGGAAAACACCCCTCTTCAGACATGACTGATGTTAATATTCAACCTTCTACAGAAATTGTTCTGCCATAAGTGGAAGAGAATATTTATACCCACTGCTGCCTTTAGTGGATCATGTAACCATGCATAGCCTTCTGCCAGTTGCTAGAATCAAATTATTGATGAGGAAAATTTATACATATAGGATCAATCACGTATAAATATGCCAAGAGACACATTCCTCCCAGATGATCTTAATAAAGGGACACAACTGATTAGAAGTCTTGATTTAAAGTTGAAAAATGAACAGTCCTGAAGTGGGGTGTTTATTATGTGCTGCCTCAGAGAAGGTGTGCTGTGGATGGTGGCTGACGTGATGGGAACTGTTATACAGCTATGGTTTCGCATTGGATTTGAGAGCTAAGACATCTTGTCTTCCTGAATTATTTTGTATCATTCAATTAAAAAATTATAATGAGCTCGATGTGCTCCTGTGTCTCACTTGTGTGACCCACATAAGAAGTGAGTTTATTAAAAAAGGAAATCAGTCGTGGTAGAGCTAACGACAACCCCCTGCCCACTATGAGAGTTCTCGAGGGTTCGTTTAGGTCAGCAGATACATAGATTGAGCTCTGCTGTAGAAATACGTGAAATGTTTTTCACACTTGGCCCTGACGTGTTATAAATACCTATTAATTCAATATTAAAATATTTACAAATATAAAAAGAGCCACTGCAGTTTCTGTTCCAAATGGAAAGAAATTAAAAAGCTACAACAACAGCAAAACCAACACAAAGCACGGCCTGAGGCTAAGTGAGTTTACCTTCAGCATTTGTTCATTTTCTGCTGCGAAGAGGGAGACGGAGCCAAAGACCAATTTAAACAGCTTGAGGTACAGGTTGGACAGCTCCACGTTGGAGCCCATTTCTGGCAAGCGGTCCAGGAGATATTCCACCAGAATTGTAGCGAACAGAGCAGAGGTAGTAGGATTTGCCAAGAAAGAATTGGCAACAATCTGGCAACACAAGAAACGTGTGTGACAAAAAAAATCCCTTTTCTAAAGCAGCCTCAAGAAAAGTAATGACCTTTCCAAAAACACAAAATCAAGTCTGTATCAGACACTCCAAGAAATTAATTATCCACCAAAGGGAAAAAATAAGATTTACCGAGCGCTGAGTGGAGCAGTCCACTTTAAGTACTTAATCTGCCATTTTATCAAGTTCACCACCAACTACCAAGAGCCTACATCTAACACATTTAATTTTTACTATGAGAGGAACTAGTCCAAAGCATCTTGATCCTTTGAAATTTTTTTTTTACTGCAGCCTAATATTTCTCTAAATTTTGCTCTAAAGGCAGTATCCTTAGGCACATTACTTGGAAAATAAAAGGAATACCAAGTATTCAACACATAAAGAAGTTCAGACCCAGTGCTGAAAGAATGTAAGGAAGGAACTTCGTACCTGAAGAGCATAATTTTTTGAGATTCTTTCCACCATATAAGGGACTGTAGTCTGGAAGATTTCTTTGAACGTTAAGGGATTCATCATTGTGAAGACACCAGCAAAGTGCTCCAAGACCTCCTTCTCCTCCTTCATTCGAACGGTCTGGCAGTTTGCTACTCGAATGTATGTCTGTCCGTTTCCTGCTATCTGGACCTAGCATGGGGGGGAAAAATCCACAGGGATTAAAACCAAACATCTCTGAATATTACATAATTACGTAATTAGCAACAGCTGCACATGTAGAACAGAGCGCCTGAATTAGACAATAAATGCCCCCCTGCCCCCTAAGTTCTTTTAAATTCTCTATTCTCACGTTAATTTTGGAAAATAATTTAAAAAAAATTTCGTTATGTGTTCAAAACAGAAACAAATTTCGTAAATGTAAATCTTGTTTCTTTTGCATTCCCTTTACACCAATGCCCCCTCAACGTGCACTGACACTTATAAGAGGTCTCACCATAAACGCAGCCCTGTGGACAACAGCAAACCCGGGAAGAAACCGCCCCATCCAAATGGTAAGAGATCGCTAAGACCCTTGCATCACTGGCATCCTGCTGCTAAGAGGTATTTTCCCCACCCAGAGCCTGGCCTGAGAGCACAGACTTACCTGATAGATATCTAAAGCCTGCATCGCGTACTTCACCAGTTTTATGTAGATCTGAGTCTCTTTGGGCTGTAACTGCTTGTTGGGAATGAACTGAGCTTCTGGAAAAGAGACAGCACAGTAAATGAGTGCGAATAAAACCCACTCTACGAAAAACATCATTTGTCTGAATAATCAAGAGTGGAATTACCACCAGGCGCTTTACAGGACGTTATGCCCCACGTGATTGTCTTGACACCACAGACCAAGGTTTTCACCAAACTCCGGCAGTCTGTGACCTGGAACGTCTGCTTGTCCTCCTTATCCTTTTCTCCTTGCTTCTCAAAGGGAGGCACAGGGGCTGGGGTCACC